GAAAAGATTTAACATTTGCTATTGACAGATTAGGTTTTATGGGTTACCAACAGTAGATTATTTTAATTTAAATTAAATTGGTCAAATAAAGGATATCTTACAATTTGGGATTTAAGCAAACATAATTTGGTAAAACTTCCGTAGTGGATATTGCCCGAAAGGGTTGCCATATGATTAAAGTTAGAGTTGCATACATATATATAATTAATAATACATACATATATGTAAGTGTTACCATGTAATCAAATATTTTAACTCAATAGATTTAAAATTGAAGAAGAATTGAACTGTTAACAAAGCCAAAGAGCTGCCAAGTGGCAAAAAATGTTAGGTGAAGAAATTTATATATTACTTAATTATTAAAATGTGGGTATGAAATAAGAAAACTTTAGTATGCAGCATAAAACATCTTGAACGGAGTTGAAATCTTTGGTAAGAAAACAAATATTTTCCGTAATATCTTGATCCAGATTGCCACCTTGATTTCGCTAATAATTGTAATTGTCATCCAGCGCATGTATGTACATAGATATGTACATGCTATCTTTCGCCTGAAAAATACCAAAATAATTGGTAGATCATATAAATAATACAATATAAGGGACCACAAAACGAACCGTAACACCAATGTCATCTATAACTACCAATGACTTAGTATGTTGAAAGCCATTTTCTGCTTATACCTAAATTAAATATTTCTCCCAGTGCATACAATTTAACACATTTTTAAGCATTTATCTTCATCTTTGCAGTCATTCAGTGCAGTCCTAATTTTTATTTTATTTTATTCTATTTTCCTTTTGAACACCTCTAACGCAGACCGGCAAAGCTAGAAAGCATCAGTAGAGACAATCATGCATGCGTGAATGCCTGAATGGCTTCACCTATATTTGTGTGATTGTGTGTGAGTCAGAATGTGTGACTATGTCAAGCCATGGGTATTTCTATGGAAGTACCGTCCGAAAGGGCAAAGAAAAGCACATAGTTGGCTGTAGCAGATAATTGAAGCACGATGCAAGACAGCAAGCACACAGCAGAGACGCAGAAACAGGCACGCACATGTGATTGTGTGCGCAAGTTAACATGTTTAATTGCTGATGGAGTATGTGTTAATCTTTGAGCATTAAAGTCAACAAATAAATATACACATATAAAAAAGAAGACGCACATATGTACATACTTACGCAAGAGTATGAGTTTAAATAAACAACGTAAAAAGGATGACAGCAGCAAATAAATTAATGCTGCCTCAGGGAGTTTAGAAGAATCTGTGAAGTAAAAACCAGAATAAGAAAAAAATGTAATTAGTCTTTATGCTGAAAAGCTTTAGTGGCCCAACAAATTTGTGGAGTGAAGCGATCATATAGACTTTAGAAAAAATTAGTAAAAACACTAAAAAAAACTGATGGCACCCATTAATGACTTTTTTTAAATTTAAGGTATGTACATATTATATTCTCAAGTTCTATTCCAATATTTGCCTTAATTACTTTATATATTAAAAAGTAAAAATATTTTAGGGAATTCAAAAAACTCTTATGTGGGAAAGTGGGCGTGGTTGTAGTCCGATATTGCTCATCTTCAAGCTGCCACATAAAGAAGACAAGAGACTCATAAGTCCGAAACTTGGTTTAAGTTTGTGGAGCGGTTAATGGGTTAGTATAGGCATTAGACGTGTGAAATGGGGTAATTCATTCACTTTAGCATACTGCATAAAAAATAGCAGAACAATATATTTTCAATAAATTTGGTTGATGTAGCTTTGTTAGTTTGTAAGTTATTTGCATTAAACCTATTAAGGGACGTGGTTATGCCAATACGATGATTATCTCTAACAATTTTAGGTTTAGTTTGCGTCTTAGTTATTATATTTTTTTCGACTACTGGATGTATGTCAATTGTACGATTTATTCCATTAACAAATTCATCAGATTGTCGAGGAATATGTATACCACGTTTTCTCAAGATATCTGCATGTTTTCTCAAGTTGTTTCTCAAGTTATTTATATAAGGGAGCTTTAAGGCATAGTCAACCATTGGTACTGATTGTACACAAAACAAGTATCATGTCCACGGAATTTCTCGTTTTTAATTGACTGCTTTTAGGAGGTATAAAGCAAAAAGTATATCACTGAGCAATCGGTTGTATGGGAGCTTTACATTATAGTCATCCTAACTCAATGATTTTTCGTATTTAGTTTAGTCACAGGAGTTAATAAATCGAGCCATATTTGTATCGGCTTAGCTCAGCCAATAGGTCTCACATTTTCATTATAATTTATCTCTTACTTCCAGCACTTACAGACACCAAAGTTATTTTACTGCTATGTACAATATTCACATTCTTGAAGGGTGTACTTAAATGTATGAAAATTGCTTTAGTAGTGCAGAAAAAAAAAAGAAGCGTAACAAGTAAAAAAATTAGCACAAGAAAAGCAAGCAATTGCTCACAATTTTTCTTTTTGTAAATTTTTGCTACAACTTCACATAAATATATATACACATTTAGTACGTAATGTGTGGCAGCAATCTAATGGCAGCATGCATTCCTTTCTTTAGGTATTTTTATCTATTTTCTTTTATCCACCTTTTTTCTATGCACCGTTTATTCACTTGGCTATACTGATACAGCTGCCAGTTTCAATTTTGTTATCAACGCCAATGCCATCAGCAAACCATTACTGGCTGTTAGCAAAAAGCACCACAACGAGAGGAAGAATATACGAATAAAGGGTGCATGTAAAAGTATATGTGAGTAACTACATGTACATGTGCATATGACAGAAGGAGGAGTGTTTATATTACAGCTGATTATGTGCTTAAATGAAAGGAGCAAGCGCGCACGTGTGGAGAGAATTTAGAAGATAATAATATAGTAAGTGATAGGCAACAGACAAATTTCAAGAGGAAAATTCTTAACAAAAATTGAACAAAAAAATTGAAAAAAATATAAAAAATGTATTAAAAAAATATAAGAAAAAATAAAATATCACATCTGTATGTAGATATATAGTATATAATAAATTGCATGAAATTTTAACATTTTTGTTAATTTTTTCTTTTAAAMCTCAAGCCAGTCTTTATTTTGTCGACCAACCACACATGCAAACAAGTAGGTGAATGTGTGCCTTTCATCCACTCAAGCACTATCAGATTTCTCTTAATTGAATTCGCATCTAATGAGCGAAGGCCGAAAATAGGCAGTGCCGCTTTGGTCAAGTTGCTGGCGGCCTGCTTCATGTAAGTGTAATGGGGCACTCATACGCCTTGGTAGCCAGTGTTTGCTCTTATATGCCAGCATATCAACAACATTACTGTATTCTACATGTGAATAAATAAGGCTGGCTAAGCACACACTGGTAATTTTGCTAATTTACGGAGTGTGTATTATAGTCAGAGAAGTTAGGAAATAGGCATGTGAGTGTGTGTTTGAAACGCTTGACCATTCGATGGCCGTAAGAGCCGCAGGCTAGGCATAACGTTGATTTTAAGAGGATTATGCATGTGTTTGTATATGTCAAAAATAAACAAAAATGTGTCTGAAGACATGTTGATATATGCATATAGATATGTATATAGTACATACCATATAAAATTCAATGTTCTGTAGGGAAAAAAGAGCTGACTAAATGAACCATTGGTAGCAAGATGATTTTACATTGGAGAACAGTCAAACA